TTCAAGAGTGACCTCAAGTCCTTGTTTATTTATCAGGGAAGAGTGTACAAGGAAGAGCCAGAAAGGAGTGGGTTCCGGGTAAGGAGTCCTTGCTTCTCCCTGAAATGCCAGATGCTTGAGCTTGGGGCGGATGTTTATGGACAGTAAATGGCCTGGCGGAGAATGATACTCACCAAGCCAAGAGACGCCCAGCCAGTCAGCTGCAAGCTAACCCCTAGTTAATAATTGATCCAGCACTGGCTCCCGGATGTGAGAACCCAAACAAACAAGGTTCTTAGTCAGAGGGTAAGCATGTCTTTCCATAACTCTCCATCCTCCTTGTACCTATGTAGGGGCAGCTAGGTGGCACAGTACATAGAATGCTGAACTTAGAGTCATGGAGGTCTGAGTTCAAATGTGACTGCAGATACTTATTAGCTACGTGACCCAGGTCAAATTATTTAACCTTTCTGTGCCTCATTTTATTCCTCTGTAAAATGGGATGGCTAATAGCAGTGATCTCCCAGAGTCCTTGTGAAGGTCAAATGAGATAACAAAGTACTTTGTAAACCTTAAAGAGTTATTGTTATTATTATTTTATTATTATTGTTATTAACCACCACAGAAAGAATACTCAGGGTTTCACCAGTCCACATGTGTCAGACAGAAGAAGAAAATGCTACAGTGAGTGGAAAGGGCACTGAATTTGGACTCAAAGGGTCTTCATTTAAATGTTGGCTCTGTTATTTACGATGACATCTTGGGTATCTACTTAACCTCTCTGGGTCTCAGCTTCCTCAAGTGTATAATGAGGACTTTAGACACTCTTTAAGGCTGTTTTTAGTTTAATGGCTGATCCTATATCTCATTCCTCCCACCATGCCTTGGCTTGCATTATTGGCCCTCCTTGGAATGACCTTTTGCCTCCTTAGCTTATTTAGGCTCAAGCTCTATCCCCTCCAGGAAGTTTTTCTTGATCATCCCAACTTTTGTTGGGTCAAATCAAGTCACAGTTTCATGTGATTTCATCTAACATCCCCAACTAGTTGGGAGTTTCTTGAGGGTGGGTGAGGTCTTATCTTTCTCATAGGATGGAGTCCATAGGGTGACTCAGAACAAACCTGATCGATTACTTTGTTGCTAAGAAAATCCCCAGGCTTTAATTTTGCTCTCAAGGCTTTATTTCCATGTAAGGAAACACATGTAACAGGCCCCATTTGGCCTGTCCTGGGGGTTAAATTGTTACTTCCACCAAGTAAGCCAAGAAAAGCCAGGAGAGCCAGGATGGTTGAGTGGATTCAGAGGCAGAGGACTTGGGTTCAGATTCTGAATCTATTACTTACTTACTATGTGACCTTGAGCAGATCCCTTCCTTTCAATGAGACTCAGTTGTTTTAAAATCTATAAATTAAATCCTATGGGAAAATAGCAGCTGTTACTGGGTAGTCATGCTGCCTGGAAGAGGTAACTGTTTATCCTTAGATCCCCAGCCCCATCCCCACCCACACTGAGGCCAGAGAGATAAGCTCCCTGGCATATTCTCTGACATTTTCCCACAGCTTTGGCAGTAGGTGGGAGAGGGACTGCATTGAATTGAGAGGTGACCCTTTGCAGTCCCTTCCCTGCATGGCCAGGCCAACTAGTGACCCCATCTCAAGTTTCCTTCTATTTTAGTGCCTGGGGAAGCTGGGATTATGCCTGGGATGGGCTATTTTAGGGAGGGCTGCTCTTCTGCAGCTGCTCAGTGACCTTGGTGGAGGTGGGGAAGGGGAGAGGGCAGACACATTTGTCTCTATAGAGTCCCAAGTTTAGATTTCTTCTCTCATCTGGGTCTCCTTACCCCTGGAAAGCTGCCTTGAGGCTCAGCTTAGAGGGTCTGGAGGGAAGGGTTTAAGAATCGTTCATAGATAATCCAACATGAGGCCCAGACCTTACAGACCAACCAGCCATGCTGGGATACTTCCTTTATAGACAAGGAAACGGGTTTAGAAAAGGAAGGTGACTTGGCTCTCTTTCTTTCCCCTTCTCTCTCCTTCCCTCTCCTTGTCCTTATCCACCAGCTTTTCCCTTTCTGTATCTTTACCCAAATCATTGATGAGAAATCTTAATTAGAACAGGACTGAGGACAGGCCTGGTAGCATTCCACTAGGGACTCGCTTTCAGCTTGACCAGTCCATTCATTAGTGCCCCATGAGCCTTTTCATTCAGTCAGTTACAGATCTTCATGGCTTGCATTACCATCTAGCCCACCTCTCTCCATTAATGTGCAGATGGATATCAGGAGAATCTTGGTCAGATCTCTTTGTGAAATTCAGGTATGGCCACAGCAGTTCCCCTGATCTGCCTATCTCCTAACCCTGCCAACAAAAAAATGAGTTTGCTCTGGCCAAACTGGTTGTTTGTTTGCAAAGCCATACTTAGTGATCACCGCTTCCCTTTCTAAACACTTACAAGCTATCCATTTAATAATGTGCCCTAGAACTGACCGTCCAAGTTCATGGATCTATATTTTTCCCATTTCCCTTTTCCTCCTTTTATAAATGGGGACACTTACCTATCTTTATCACTCTAGAACACCTCTTGATTGCTACAGTTGTAAAAAGATCCTCAGCAGTAGTTGGGTGATCAGTTCTGAGTGATTAAGTTCTCTCGGTACCCTGGGACCTGGTGAGTTGGACTACTTTAGGACATGTCAGTCATCTCTTGCAATCTCATTCATCATCTTGTACTTGAATTCCCTTTCCACCGTGTTAGTTCTAACCTTTCCAGTCCAAGAATCACTCATGGAAGAGAAGATAAAACTTAATAGTTGATGCTGTAAACATTATACTATCTCCCCTATGTTATTTTTTAAGTCATTGAACGTGGTAGATTTGGTAAGCTTTCCTCGAAAAGCTTACATTCATGCCCCTGACATAGCCCCAAAGTTCTTTATGTACACTTCACTTGGTGATGGGGGGTGGTGGGGGAAAATGGGGTGGGAACAGTTCCTAAAGCTGCCTGACCCCTTAGTTCGTTTTGGGTGGTAGTTTTCCTAACAATATACTTATAGGACCATGACAATCTTTTATAGTCATCCTTCGTTATTACCCCCAGTCTCTTTCTTTTGTCAGTCAAGTCAATCAGTCAGTAAACACTTAAATTTTTTTTTTTATGTGCCAGGCTCTGTGCTAAGTGCTTTGTACATATCTTTTTAATTTTAACTCGACAAAGAGCTCCCTATGCCGTAACACAGTTCTTTTTCTATGTTTCACACCATTCTTTCTGAGCAGAATCACATGCAATTGCATGGTAAGAATTTCATTTTTTCAGACCCAAATGGCCTTCTGGAATAGACTTCCCTTCTAGAGGATGAGGACACAGATCCCACTTGCCTTTCCTCTGAATTTCTTTTAACCTTTTCTCCTAAAATTTAGAGTGCAGGTCCGATCAGGCCTGCAGCTCCACTCCTTGGCTCTAACTGATTTCAGGGTGACATGTGACCACCATTTTCTCACATTTTCTCTTCCTTTTCTTTGTGGGACAGAATTAAAACTAGAGTAGCCACTTCATTCCTAGCTTTCTTTACTTCCCAAGAGATAAAATTGTCTGTAGGAAGGCAACAGAAATATATCTGAAGCTCTGCCTTCAGTTACGAGACTCCCGGCCCCACAGCTTCTCTGAGTACTTACTGTACTGTCACCAAGTCAATTCCCCAGAATGATCGAGTTTTCCGGTTGACTTTCTTCTCCCATCCCCCCAGTCCCTTCTTGCTAGACTGCAGGGAAATAAATGAGTGATGTCTTTGAGAGCCACTCGAGGAATTTCACTGTAAGAGGCAGCAGGCTCAGGAGAGGGCCAGACTACTCCCTTCTTTCCATATTCTGCCCATTAAGACAGCATGGTGGCCTGGCCACTTCAGGGAAGGGACACTGGGGGATGGTTGGTGAGGGCTGAGGACAGAATAGACAGGAGCAATGAATTCAGACTCATCTTTTGTCCAGTGGCACTTCTGAGGCCTGAATCCTGGGCTTTCAGACATAAAACTGGGGTTACCCACCTTCTCTCCTCCTCCTTAGTGTTTTGTTTTGTTTTTTGCAAGGCAATTGGGGTTAAGTGACTTGCCTAGGATCACACAGCTAGTGAGTGTCGTGTGTTGTGTGTCTGAGGCCACATTTGAACTCAGGTCCTCCTGACTGCAAGGCTGGAGTTCTATCCCCTGCACCACCTAACTGCCCCAGTGTTTTCTTTAGTTCCCTGGAAATATGCAAGTAGATTTTACCGTGGAAACAAATGGTCACTGGTACACACAGGGAGAAATTAATTCAGACTACTCATTGGAAGGACAAGTACAGGAGCTGAAGCCTAAATACTCTGGTCACGTGATAAGAAGATGGGACTCATTGTACAAGCCCCTGCTGTTGGGAAAGACTAAAGGCAAAAGGAGAAGAGGATGGCGGAGGTTGAGACACATAGATAGTATCATGGAAGCAACACACATGAGCTTGTACAGACTTCGGGGGATAGTGGAGAATGGAAGGGCCTGACATGCTATAGTCCAGGGGGAGGGTCGGACATGACTGAATGAATGAACAATTCATGGGGAGAGAAGAAAGGCATTAGATATTTAGTTATGGGATGGGTTCTAAAATCTCATTAGGAGGGGCCTGAGACACTGGTTCTAGGGAAACAACAATCCCTATCTTCAATGAGCTCATGTGTTTGTTACTGGGAGAACCCAGGCTCTAAAGCCCCTCCCTTCATCTTTCTAGCCCCAGAACTAGGGTCTGTACCTCTGAGCCCACCCCTGGCTCCATGGCCCTTTGGCCGCCCTCCTGGCCCATTGGTTC